CTCACCTCGTGGTGGCCGGCGACAGTGGCGATGTGCAGGGCGGTTAGGGCCCCGTACCCCACCTGCTGGATATCCGCCCCTCCGTGCAGCAGCGCGGTCACCAGCTCCGCGTTGGCCTGCGAGGTACGAGCGAGCGCGTCAGAGACGGGCGCACGGCTCAGCTCACTGATCTACCGTAACTTCACTCAAGACATATCCGCTACGTCTGGCCTGTGACAGCCCCATCAGCAATCGATTCTTTCAGGGGAAAAACGCACGCCGATGTGCACCTTACACCTTAAACGTTTGTAAAGTTTAAATCACGTTATACTTATTTTTCACCATGCTAATAAAAAAACGCATTACTTCTGGAAAATATAAAACCCAAGATAAAAATAATTCTACTAGTGCATCAAGAGAGTCTTCTGTATTCTTCTTCACGGCTGGTATCGCGTTTACCCACGGTGACTTTTCACAACATCAGCGAGTACTTGGGGGAAGATGGACTGGGCATCTTCAGTATTGTGATCGCGCCGCCCCTGGCTGGTGTGCGTCAAGTTTGGAAAGCGGGAACCTAGCCTGCCCCTTGCACTAACCTTGTAAGCAGCCAGATGCAGAGCTGTGAAGCCGTTGCGTGTCAGCCTGGACGGGCGCAAGCCCTTTAGCATGAGGGTCCGGATATGAGCTTTGTTACCTGCGGTAGAGCATTACGATACATTGTCCTTCTTACAATCACTTTGCAGGAGCGCGGCTCTGGGGGGTTTTCGACAGAAACACTTTGTGTTCAACTCAAAATGACACAACCGTCCTTTTATAATACACATTGACAAATATACAGAATGCATGAAAATGTATTCTTATCTGTTCCCTCAGCTACGTTTTCTATATACATCTTCATGCAGGGCTAAGATAGAATACATCATCAGCCTGAGGTCATTAAAACCTTTGATGGCACAATTCCACACTGAAGCCTGTGCAAGCACAGCAATGATATTACAAGACACGGGAGATATTTAAGATACTGTGACCACTATATAACACCAGCATTACATGTAGTGTTTGTTGCATGTTCTTTGATGGCTTCAGCATTAAACCAACACTTCTCAGACTGGCTGGAATGCTTATTAGGAATGAAATTGCTTTTATCACCAGTTTCGCACTCACCTCCACAGATGCAGCAGAGATGCAGCAGGGACAGACCCCCTTCTGTACGATAATTTAAGTTGACCTTATTAAAGGCTTCATCTGAGCTGTGGGAGACACAATTACTATTAATCCAGAAATAAAACAAACAGCAGACCACATCTGAGTGAACGATAAATCTAGTGGTGTAGAGAAAGAAAATAATCTTATTTTGACTTTCTGTACAGTGTATGTTGCTAGGAATCCACATGCAATACAATTTATTCAAAAGAAAAATGCGCTGTCTGAAAGCATTTACGGATCTCCACGTTCTTACCTGAAGACGTGCTTTAATTCCATCAGCTCACTCTCCTTGATGCGCAAGTCATCTTCCAGTCTTTCTATTATAACTGAATAGGACTCGCTAACCTTCTTCTTCCATTCATCTTTGTAAACAGACAGAAGATTATGGACTAGTAATTAAGCTGCTATGTTATCTTACAGCAAATTAACGAATTCAATTAACAGTGAAGACAGTTGAGCTCCATAATTTTAGGTCACACTTAATAAAATGGAAAACAAAGACGCAAGACTTTGACCTTCTGTATTTACAGTTCATAAGATCACATTCTAGTGCCTCTGGGGTCATGAGTTTAAGACTGGGTCAAAATGTTGGCGGTGCCTCAGATATTTTGTCTGTCAGAATGCTTCGGCTAACTGTCACGATGAAGAAACCCCCAAGACAAGGCTGAAAAACAACACCTGCGAGCTGCCGAAACAAACTGGGCTGCCCAAAGACACAATGGTGACAGAACACGTTGTCACACAACAATCTAAGAACAGAGACGTCATGCCGTTCCACAAGACAAAGTCGACGCATATCTTTCTCTTGTTCGTTTTCTATTTGTGTCCAAAGTCCCGCTCCGCAAAACTTTTTATCTGTTTAAAAATACCAAAACAGAACAAGCGCTGTTACCTGTACAAGTCTGCGTCGGTCTCGATTTATAGTTCCCCATAGAGATTTTCCTTTAGTTAGTTTAGTTTAGGGCAGTAATATAATTCTTCACTCAAGCACAATGGCAGTGCTGCTGATAAACTTGGGAACACAGCCGCTAAAAATAACTGGTCTCCAAATAGAAAGTCTGACAACAATGACAACTGATCTGACCATGTTCTGAGCTACAATAACACACAGGCTACTGTACCTTCCAATGCTTTTTCAACACTGTAGACGGACTCCTCTTCACTAACTTGTCATATGTGTTGTCTTAAGGTGCCGCACTTAAAGCATGGATACTGTGGCATTAAAGTCCAATTTTATAACAAATAAGTCTGAACATTTAGTTGATTTCTAAATCTAATTGTGAAAAGAATAAAGGTGTGGATGCATGAGCATAAGTAGATCTGGTGTGCAGAGCTCAAACTCTGGAGGCCAAAATCCAGTGTAAAAAGTCTCTTTTTATCTGTGTGACCCCCAGACTTGAAGAAAAGTGGCACAATAGTCTATCTGAAGCAATAATTAAATCAACTAGGTGATCTGGAATGAAAGATTGAAAAGCCATAGGTGCAAGGAGATGCATCTCCAAAATATTTCCCAACCCCAGGTCTGGTGTGTATGAGAATCTGTAGTTCTTGAAAACAGAATGAGGCACTTTTTGGCAGATTTCCTAATGATCACAGAAGCAGGCAAAGAATATTTAACAATGAGGGGCTCTCTAACATGTGATTTAAAGGGACAGCACATCCAGTAATTTCTGATTAACGCATTCTGCTGACGCACTATAGCAGTCTTTCTAATGCCCTCCATGAGGACATTACCATCACCTAATCAAAATTTGAGGGGTTTATAAATGTTCTTCACTAACGGGGTACTCCCAGATAGCATCAGTAAAGTCTGTTCACCCCCACCACCTGCCTCTCTGCAGACCAGAGGTTATGAGAAAGCACAAATGCCATTCCATTTCTTTTTCCAGTTTAAAAATATCTGACATACAAAGCGAGCTGGCATTAGGAAGAAGGAACAGTGAGATACAGTTACAGGCCTTGTGTAGTAAACTTTCATTGCTTACAATTTCAGTGTCGGACCAAAGGGGAGTTTAACTGCAAGAGCAATGGACACGTGATTCAGTGGTGGTAAAAAATTTGTTTTATTTAATAACTTGCTTGCATAGTTTTCAAATCAATATACAGAAACTATCTACAAACCATAATGACTCAAAATTATTAAGAGATGGACATTTTATCACTCATCTTTCCTTACTCAAACCCTTAGAAGCTTAGGATACTAGGATAAAAACCACCTTGTCTTTAAAATCTATAATCCCCTTTTTTGTAATACATCTGCAAAACATATGGTAGAGTATTGATTTCCTTTTCGTAATACAGCACAGTTTTTTATATTTCCTGGTGTGCAGGTCTGTAGCTGCCTTCAGAAATCTATAAAATTGTAGAATCGATAGCATAGCTCTCTGAATCTGTTTATTTTCCAATACAAGAATGTGCACCGTTGTATTGTGAAACGTTCATGTCACAAAAGAAAGTTCCACAACTCGATTCTGATTTAAGGTGGAGCAGAATGAAGGCATAATGTGCTTTATACAGTAGATGTGTCTCACCTGAATGAGAGAGAGAGATGACAAGTTGTCTATGAGGGTGGGACAATCAGACCCCCCTTTTATGATAGGATAAGCTGAAAAGAGAAAGAGAGGTTGGAGAGACAGATGTGAAGTGATACGCTCCAGGTATATGTAGGTGAGCAAAGTTGGAGTTTGCAAACTTGCAATCTCATTATGTACACAGTAATGATCAGCTTTGCTTCAGTTTCTCCTCACTAATGTCTCTGTGTAGTTCCTTCCTGAATTTGAGCATTTCTTCCAAATCCTTACACTGCAGGGCTTCCTGCAAGGAAAATAACTTAACATCCTCGGGAAAAGTGAAGCTGGACCTACCCTGCAAAGATGTAATCATATTCAGCGACAATTTAAATGAGCTTTTAAGGTCGCAGCAGAGTGGAAAAAGTTTTGCGGTCCATAAACTCAGGCAGGAAGTATCGCCTGAGAACTGCAGATCCTGAACTGAAAGACCCCAAAGGCCCAGGCACTCCAGCAAACTTCTTCCATAGAACTGCAACTGGCCAATGTCTGACACCGAGGGTACACTCTGTTTCAGGTTGTCTCCTACTGCAAACGCAATGGTGACAAATAAAGTGGCTCTGTTCACGCTCAGGCTCAATGAATGAATAAAGGCATCAGATGGGACGTTGAAGTCACCTTCTATCCAACAGCTGCTGATGACAGTGTTTCCACCGACAGTCACGTTAGGACCAAGTCTTGAGTATTCAATCACTGACCCCAAACCCACAGTACAGGCCGGGTGCAGAACACTGTGAATAATACAGACTGCGGGATTCTTCGACGCGTCAGCGGGACAGACGCTAAAAGCATCAGAGAGGAGCCCAAGTTCTGCCCTGAGGTTTGGGTCTCCTGTCAGATGAAACAGGTACTCCTGGGTGGTGCCGATATGGTAGAACTTGGAGTTATTCAGCAGTATCACGTTAAGTGGAGTTCCCTCAAGAAGGTCGAATATCTTCCCTCTGACCTCAACAAGGTTTCGTTCTTCCTTCGTCACATTAGTCGTGTTTTTTGTGTACGCCGACGTCGCCCCCGAACCCAGTGCCTGTAGGAAGTCCCCATACGCGTCTATTTCACAACCTAGGGGCCCTATTTCTGCCAGCAAACCGAGCAAACGGCCGGCCGTGTCAGGGTCCATGTAATACGTGCTGTCGGTGTAAACGAATTCGGGGCGCCCGGCCCACTGACCCCCCGTGCCCGTGCCGCCGGCCGCCCTGGAGCACACGGCCCCGCTGCTGTGCATCTCCTGGACGCTCGGCTTGTGCAGGAAGCGGCGGCAGGACCTGTACTCCAGGTCGCCGGGCTCCGTCCCCTCCGCCGGCTCCAACACAAACACGCCGTGCGCGGTCCCGGTGGACAGGGTCGAGGGGTGGGCCAAGGCGGTGAAACCGGCCCTGTCGAACGCCACCGCCCCGCCCCCCTTTACGCTGTAGAGCTCGATGTCGTCGGCGCAGGTCACCAGCACCCCCGGCTGCATGCGCGAGGGGAAGTCAATGTACATGGCCAGCTTGAGCTCCAGCATCTGGTAGAGGGGCTCTCCAAGCGGGAGGGCAGTGAAGATCTTTCCAAGGGCGCTCGCACTGGGCAGGCGCTGGCTGTATCCTCCTGTCAGGAGACGAAACCGCCATTGTCCAAACCGAGCCTCATTTATATTCAACGACTGTTCGCACGGTTGGATTTTCACACGAGGTGAACGTCTACTTGGACTTTTTGTGAGTTCATAGGTAAGGACTAGTTTCTCCACATGCCGTGAATGCAGTATCTATTTCATCTTCAAACCACCGTATTGAAGCAAATACACATTCTAACAGAAACAACTGTGCTTAGTTGTTCATATATACATCAAGTCCAGGATTTACAGACCATTAAAATGGGAACACATACAGCACCACTGATGCATTAAGAACCGGTCATTACACAGTTTTTGCATTGATCATAATTGACAAGAAAATGAAAGGACAACACTTGTTGATTACCTGCATGGATAAGAATGACTCTGAATCCACGGACCTTGTCCCCATATTTATTTTGGATTTGCTGGAGGGAATATAACGTTGATCCCCCATTGCCTGGAAAGAGAAGGGGGAGAGAGTATTTGCTCTTTAATACCATGGCGTGTTTATAGTGGTGTGCCAGACTGTCAACGACTGGAGGCGAAGCAAGCAAGTTAGCCAGGCTGACCTATTTTAGGTCCAGGTGGATCTGCGAACACGTGGTACGGCAGCCCAAGAGGGAGTTCCTTTCTCTGGAGTTTTTCAGCCACCTGCAGCTCGTACGCAGCCCTCTGACGGTCGTCGGCCGCTGTGATGATGACGACATCCCAAAACTGCCCCGGTCGCACCGACCTGCCTGCAGGTTAACAGTGAAAACGGAATTCATTCACACCGGGCGTCTCTCTCACTCACTCACTCTCGAGAACTGGTCACATGAAGAAACTTAACATTTGAATTATGTTTAGGATGGGCGCAGTGGGTATGATTCAGCATACCAAACCAAAAGAAAAAAAAAAACATCATTTTATATTTATGGCAACGTGTGTTATGTCGAAAACAGGAAGCTTTCTCCCTTCCCAGAAATGTGTAACAATTGCATTCGATGATAAGACTGATAATATGTGTTTATGACAAACGTCTTCCCTCCCTCTCACATTCGTTCAATTAACCTGTGTATTTTCTCATCCGCAATATCAGATTCAATTTACGTACGTAAGCAGGCAATCTAATTTAGAAAGCCTTTAAATTTTGTAAAATATGTCTACAACTGTGTTCAGAAACAGCGTAGATTACCATACCATTCCTGTAGCATTCAATCACTTCAGGGCGCCAGCAAAATAAACTACAAAGATTTAATGATGTTACCTGAACTCCCCGAAAGACTTTAGCCGCTGCTGCTGTGAACCAACGAGACGAAGTGAAACTCTTACACGTTTAACAACGTCTTGAAATAAAACTACCTGCAGGTAACGTACCTCTTAATTTAGCAAAGGCGTCCAGTTTCTGTCTGGTGGCTCCCTGCAACGACGTGTTCCAGTGGTCATTCATGCCCTCTAAAATCATTAAAAACAAACTCAGCACTGAATCTGATTTGAACACCCTGGAATTCGCACAACCGGTTTATCTTCCCTGTTTTTGATTTTACTGTGCACCCATGTCAGTCCGGGAAAACCAAAACAAGGAAGTTGGTCAAATTCCAAATCCACCATCTTTAAAAAGGGAACAGATTATATTTCCAATTTAGCGTTCTATATATCATTCACTGCAAAGGCTAAAGATGCATATAAATATTTCTCAGCGAATTCTTCAATCGATTCCGATCTTTGTATTGTTGTATGACTTTCAGTTACAATTAATATACTTTTAGATGCGCCGAGTAGGGGGAGACTCCATGTTTAATTGGGGAAAATTAAAATGAACACATCAGGCGTGTTAAATTCCGCACTGTATAATCCGAGGCACACACACAAAAAAGAAAATGTAGTTCTTAGTTGATTAAGATTTTGTCTTAAAAAGTTTTTTTTTAATTATACGTAGTTGACATACGTTAGAAACCTACCGCTTTCCGTAGTTGAATCCTTGTCGTCATAGTAACAAGAGAAGAAACATTCCGGTCCAAAAAGCTACGTGAAGGTAATACAACCTGTTAGTACCTATAGTAGTTATTATTTATAGACACTGCTTGCAAAACGATTTCACAAACGTTTCTGTACTTTTTTAAATTATTTTTTAAATATTTAAGTATTTGTTGTTTTTATTTCCCTGCCTTTAAGGTTTTTAATGTAAGTTTCCTAATTTTGCAGTGAGCATGTTTTTACGACTCATTTGCAGACAGAAAAAAAAGTCTTGCTATTGCCTGATTCAGTTAAGGTCACATCATATACTCTATTCATGCCTATTTCTATTTATGTCTATTTTTCTTTTGAATTACCCATTACAAGAAAGTACCGCTGAAAGTCAACGCTTTAGTGGTTACTGATGCTAAAATGCACAAAACAGGGCTGTGTAAGAAGTACAGAAACGTAATGTCTGGACAACTGAAGTAACATTTACTGTCCCATAAAATAATTCAAATTCCTTACACACTATTTCGCATCGTGCTGTAATTCATTCAATTAATAATAATAATAATAATAATAATAATAATAATATAGGAACAATGCTTATTAACATGCTGAAAAGGAAAGAAGAGAAACACAACGTTTCGGCTGTGCAGCCTTCTTCGGGTGTCACCCGAAACGTTGTGTTTCTTTTCTTCTCTTTTTAGCATGGAATAAACCTTAACTTGTTCCCTTTATTGTTGTTGTTGGTGGTGGTAATGAAACAGTAGCTGACTTTACTGCGGCGAGGCAATAGCCTGACGAGGGCTTCACGGCGCAGGAGCCCCACGACCCGCGGTTCTCCGCGGGCAGTAGGAGCGCCACGACCCCGGATCCCGGAGGCGCGATGACGCGTGAGCCCGGCGCCAGCGAGTTCCTGGCCAGCTGCGCCGGGGCTCTGATACTGCGCTACGGGCTGGCGGTGCACCGGGAGCAGGCGGCCGCGGAGCTCCCGGACGTCGCCATGGTGAATTTAGGAGGCTTAAGGCTCAAGGACCTGAATTCCCTGGACTGCTGCACGTCCCTGAAAATATGCATCGTGTCCAACAACTACATCACCAATATCGATGCACTCATTCATTGCACCAGCTTAGTTCTACTAGATCTTCATGGGAACCAGGTAATAGCGTTAATTATTTTTTTCTCTCTAAAGTTTTCTGTCTTTTTGATTAACGTTATTTCGGAACAATACACAGTAACGATTTCTCCTATCATCTAAAAGCACCTACAGATCAAGTTCCTTTAATTAATCTTAACTCCTGCAGAGATAATGACAGGAAAAGAAATCTGGCTAAACTCGGCAGGTCTTCATTCAAGTGTACAGGTGTGGATTTGTGACTCACGATAACGTTAATAATTAAACATGGCAAGAACAAACTGCTCTTTGTGATAAATCAAACTGTTTTGTCTCTTTTTTGCTTTTCCAGATAACACAGCTCCCAGGAAGAACCTTTTGGGAGGGCATGAAGAATTTACAGATCCTCAATCTGCATGACAACAGTATCGGAAATAAAAAAGACATTGAAGGATTGTCATCCTGCTCAAATCTCACTGCGTTAACCTTGTTTGATACTCCATTTAGCCTAGGAGGAAGTTACAGACACTATGTTGTCAATAGCATATTGTCCCTAAAGGCTTTGGATAATTTTGTCATTTCAGATGAGGAGATAATCGAAGGCTGGGCTCTTCCGGCTAAATTCAAAGCCAAGAATCCACGTCTTTTTGTGGATCTGTGTCGGAAAGCTAAGTTGGTTGGTTTGACGGAGTGTTTTTTACTTTTTGCACAAAACCTCAAACGCAGAACACTGTGCAGTACCAGACGCCCAATACACAACACAAGTAAAAAGATAGGTGGAGAGAAAAGCACATCAGACCGAATGTGTCGAACCAAGAGAAAAACAAAGACAGGTCTTTGAAGTGAGCTTTGAAGGTGTCAGCAGAGGAAAATCTCTAATGGAGTCGGATGCTGAGTGTCAAAGATGCGGGGCTGCTCACGAGCTGGATCTGTCCCCCATTGTGTAGATCTTGGCCTTTGGCTGAGCAAGCAGGCCAGTTAGCAGATGCCAGATTAAGAGCTGGGCTGTGCTCATGCAAATGTTTGTTTTTGATAACATAGAGGTTATCTGGAACGTGCAGTGCCTTATGCAGTACATGAGCAGGCGAATCTTAAAAGTCACTCTATATGTCACTGGTAACCAGTGCAATTCACATACTGTTGGAAAAGGGTTATGTGCCGATGAAGAGTTCTTCTAGTCAGCACAGAAATCGGAGAATTCAGGACAATTCCAAGTTGTAACTTTTGCAATTCACTATTGCAGTTCTCATGCATGGTCTGCACCTTTTTTTGGCAGAGACTTCCTATTGCAGTCCTTAGATACTTACTCCTCTAGCTGCCTAAACCTGTGTACAGTTGCGTACATTTAGTATTAGTATTTACATTGCATACATTTAGTTTTAGTAGTTCAGAACTGCAAACGTTTATTCGTTTTAAACTCCCATTTTTGTGTTCAATGCAGGAATCATTTGAAGCTGCCATGAAAACAGTGAAAGACATTATATCAAAGATAAACACAATTCTGGCCTGTTACTCACCTATGACAATTATTCAGCGCTGCATTCGGGGTTATCTAACCAGAAAGCAATTGGGGTAAATATTTTATGTTTAATTTTGTATGCAAATTCATTGACAATATCGTTCACATACATGTTAATACATAGAAATGTTTTTACCGTGTACAGTAAAAAATACAAATGAATCTATACAAAACTTTAGGTCTATAATCCAATAAGTTTTGGATGAAACTGAAAGGACATTCTAACTATTTCAATACAAATGGCACTTTACTACAGTATTTCTCATACCATTAATGTAGTCGATATGCCTTCAGAATATTCTTTGAAAGACTAGATTCTGAATGGAATCATCAAGGGTCATGTGTCTGTTTATGTCCCTCAGGGAACAGAACTCTCTTTTATTTTCATTGTTTGCTCTTTTTCTCCAGCTTCTTGAAAAAGCCACAGATCCCCAGAGGGACAAAAGACAATGTTAGTCACATCCACCTCTCAGTGACCAAAGGGCAAAGGTCAGGGGGTCACAGTGACACTACGAAGAGCACAAACCTGGTCATGAAATATCAGGTGATGTCCCACAAAGTACCAATCACTTCTTTGCCTCCTCATAAACTAAACCATAGCTTCCTATAAGTGGACATATAAATTAATGTGTTAAATATTATATTCATGTACCATTTTGCTCTTTATTGTCAATCCAAAGCATTCTGTGTGAATAGTAAACATAAAATGGTAATGAACAATTGCACATCACAGTTGTTTTTGCTTCATCTCCATGCCTTTGCAGTATTTTAGACTTTTCACTGATCAGTTACATATCACTACAATTTAAGCAAGCCTCTTTAAAATGTAATTACGTTTATTATTTAATTAAGGCAAGACAAGTTAAATAGTTTAAATTCCAGTTGACTGATATTCCACTGATACATATTCCACCCTCTTCATCTGAAGCATTTGCAAAGTGCTGTGGGAGCAGGTGGTGATTTCATAAGTGCTGTTAATTCTAAGGAACTCCTGCTTGTTTCAGAAATCAGAACACAATGACATGAAAATTCTGCAGGTTACCGTGGACCTGACCAAGCTGATGCAATCTGAAGCGCTACAGGTAAAATTTTCCTCTTAAATAAGGCCTGATGACCTTATTAATTCCAGTAATTTGCACAAAAATGACAGGCTCTCCTCATACAGCCTCTGCCAAGTGTTTGCACTGTGGACCTGCAGGTCTGGTGCTCTGGCTGCAAAAGTACTGCAGCTTGGCTTGAGCAGTAGAAATTAACCCTATGATGGAGAACTACTGGGACATGATCGTGACAGAAATATGAAGCAGTTTTGTTCCTGCTTTAATAGTATTCCTTTATAGTATTTAAAGGCACCACTCTAAGTATTACCCTAGAGAATGAGGAAACATTAAAATGTTGCTTATTAAATCTCAGGTCCTCATTTGACTCCATGTTATGGTGCAAACTTTAATGTTTTAATATTTTCAGTGTTTTAGCATATCTTTTTACATGGCCAAATAACCTCCTCTTGTTTGTAATGTTTTTTGTTTTATACTAGAATTGAGCATACCTGTGTGAAAGAGCAGGCCATGTTCATGTGCAGTGTAAAATACCAAACGGCTTGTTATCTGTATTTATAAATGCATAATCCTTGTGTTTTTCCTTGTGCTCCGCCATGTGTATCTCATTACATTTTGCAGGAGGTTACAAGTCAGCTGTCTATAGACCAAGGAAAGAAAGCACACTCCAGGCCTCTCTGTAACACTCCTTACCAGAGCAAAATTTCAAACGCCACCAGAAAAAAGAACAGGGGACAGATGAACGGTATACAGTTATACAATTAACCATTTTTTTTGTTAGGTTTGTGTGTTGATGTGAACGGATTTGATTTTGTGGCAGTATTACCTCTGTCATCCTGCAGGTGGTGCTGTAAGACTTTTCAGACACAGAGTTTGGACGTCCTCAGACAAAGAGAATGAAGCTGTGGATGCCAGACGATACTTTACATGGTTAAATAGAATTGTTTACCAGGCTTTCAGATTTTATTTTCTATTCAGCATTGATCTGTCCATTCATATAATATACAGTTTTTTACTTACCACAGAAGAGTGCAGTTTCACAATGAAATGACTTGTGAAGCAAACCCACAACATGTTATAGATGCAGCCCTGCACTCCCGCATGTGATTAGCCTGCTGCGTGCATGTCAAGTAACAAAACAGCTGGGATTCAGCTTGCCTAGCATAAATCACACAAGGGCATTTGCTAATTAAGAGTGATACTGATTACTGAATCTCCAAAGCATATTTTGATGCGCTGTAATGCAATGAGATTATATTGGATTTTTTTTTTGCATTCCCTCGATTTAATGTTTGTCGGAGTTCTGTTAATTCAGCCCCATTTTATCATTTAAGGAATATGTCTGCTTTAATTTGTTGTTTCACTAGGAATAAAATCGTTGCATTGTTTCACAAAAAGCAAGAATAATATAATAGAGATCTGGCAATCCCTGCAACTCATCATACTCCCTAATATATTTGTTTACCACAAGTGAACAACATGTTGATGGTGCTAACTGTTGACCATGGCAGTCCCTTCAGTTCTCTAAGAAATTGTACGGAGCCACGTTTTACACGTTTCCTCTGTTTCTTCTTCAACAGAAGTGTGTCGGTCAAAGGAAACCACAGCAGAAGGCCTTGATGAAGTCCGCTTTAGACTGTTTGGACTCAAGGCTTTGTTCCACTGCTCTGACCCAGTGAGCGACCTGCTGCTGTGCCGACAAGAGAACGGAAAGGACGTCAGACGAGCCATTGACCAGTTCCATGCAGCAAGCCAGAACGCCAGGAAGCCTCAAATCCGATACCTTCCAGTAGTCAGCGCAGAGCAGAGGCTGATTGCGAAGTCATATGGATCCATCAGCCTCGCTCCTTTGCAAGTGGTTGAAAAGGCTTACAGGGAGAGGCAGAGAGCCGAAGCTCTGTCCCGCAAGGCCGACTGGGTGGCGCGTG